ATAATTAATATGTATGGCGATGTTGTCGCAACGTGTTGTCACAGCAGCGAAGTGTATAGTTTGTACCACTGTTTTTGGCTGGCTGTAGTAGCTCGCCTAAGCTGTTCCAGCGGTCATGCGCGGGGGAACTTTATAATAGGTTGGGTAGACTGAACGCTGCACCACGGCCAGTTGTAGTTATAAATTACAGAGCCAAGACACAATGGCCGCGCAGAATAAAGTGATCTTACCCTGCCAATCACACGCGGGGTGAGCGAGTGAACAGCTGAGGGCCAAGCTGACAGCTCCACCTGCGTGTAGCTGCTGCTGACTGTAGCATGTAGACAAACGCTAGAACGCGATGCGCTCGCAGTGTGTCAGTAAGTTACCTAGTGCAGCTGGACGGCCGGTACTCAGTGGCGTAGCAGGGGGCGAGGGGGGGCGATGGGGTGTGCAGTGCGCCCCCTCCTAAGATTTAGAAGGGCAAAAAATAGAAAATAAAGTTAACAAAGAAATAATTCGCCTCACTGAAATACAAGACAAATTCTGTAACTGCGGATGTAATGGGCGATGCAAATTCTGTGTACTGGTTCTGTTCGGGAGCTGTAAATCACTGGCGATTGCAGTGTGATCAGTTTAAGTTCGGCGGTCCCGGGGTCCCTAACGTCGCGTGTGACGTAAGGTGGCGAGGTCAAGGGCGCGCCGGAGCAGTTTTTGGGATTGGGGGGGGGGCGCGCGGGTCAAGGACCGGGTATGAGGGGGTCGACGCAAGGTTGTTTTTATCGTGGTGCCGGCGTGAGCGCGTGTGCGGCGCACGCTGTGTTGCGTGAGGGCGCTGTTGTGTGTGACGTCGTGTAGCGGTGAGCACGTGTGTGTCGCGGTGAAGCGCGTGTGCGCGAAGCGTGGGTGTGTGTGTGTGAGCGCGTGTGTGCGACGTGGGTGCGTGAGGCGCGTGTGTGCGTGAGCGAATCGTGTGTGCACGTTGTGTGCGTGAGGCGGCCGGTGTGTGCATGGACTGCGTGTTGTGGCGGCGTCGTGTGCGTGAGCGCGTGTGTGCGCACGTGTGGCGTGAGCGGCGTGGTGTCGCGACCCGCGTGTGGACGGTGCGCGTGCAGAGGCGTGCGTGGCTGCGGCGGCTCGGTGTGGGCGCGGCTGGGTCGCTCGCCGTGTGTGCGTGTGTCGCGTGAGCGCGGTGTGTGGCAATGGAGTCATGGACGCGTGTGTGCGGCGTGTGTGTGTGAGCGCGTGTGTGCGACGTTGGTGCGTGCAGGCGCGTGTGTGCTTGAGCGGCATGTGGTGTTGACGTGGTGTGCCGTGAGCGCGTGTGTGCATGGACGCCGGTGTGTGCGGCGTGTGGTGCGCGGCGTGGTCGCGTGAGCGGCGTGTGGGTGCGGACGTGGTGCTGTGAGAGCGTGTGTGCGACGGTGGTGTGCCGTGAGCGGCGTGTGTGCGACGGCTGTGTTGCGTGAGCGCGTTGTGTGACGTGGTGTGGCGTGAGGCGTCGTGTGGTGTGACGGGTGTGTGCGTGAGCGCCGCTCGTCGACGCCACCTTGTGTGTGCGTGAGCGCGTGCTGTGCCGGCGTGTGTGCGTGCAGCGCGTGTGTCGCCTGCACGTGTGTGCGTGAGCGCGTTGGTGAGGGCGACGTGTGTGCGTGAGCGCGTGTGTGCGGGGCGTTGTGTGCGTGAGCGCCGTGTGTGTGAGCCGTGTGTGCGTGAGGCGCGTGTTGCGTGCAACGCGTCGTGTGCGAACGTGGGCGCGGTGAGCGCGTGAGCGCGTGTGTGCTGGCGTGTGTGCGTGAGCGCGGTGTGGTGTGACGTGGGCTGGGCGTGAGCGCGTTGGTCGTGCGCGCCGTGTGTGCGTGAGCGGCGCGTGGGTTGTGGGCGGCGTGTGTGGCGTGAGCCCGCGTGTGGTCGACGTGTGTGCGCTGAGCGCGCTGTGTGCGGCGTGTGTGCGTGAAGCGCGTGTGTGGGTGGCGGGCGTGTGTGCGTGAGCGCGCGTGTGTGGCGGCGTGCCCGTGTCGTGAGCGCGTTGGTTGTGGCGAGCTGTGTGTGCGTGAGCGCGTGTGTGGAGCGGCGTGAGCGTCCAATCACGGGCAAACAGCGCGGCAGCGAAACTTAAAATGGATGTGATAAATTAAGTTTTGAACGTTAGAGAATTAACAAGCTCTTAGCTGCATACATGTTTATTTGTTCTTCCCACGTCTTCTTTGGTTGGGGGGGGGCCTTTTTGTGTTTTTGGTTGAGGATGAACGCGGGACGCGCGGTCGGTAGGCTTGAGTAGAGCTGTATTTTCGCCTCTTGCCTGTATGTGACATGGAAGCTTGGATGGATAAAATATGCTCGCCCCCCCCTCCCTCAAGTGTCATCAAAACTACGTTACGAGCCGTATCTTTGTATAGGTTACATTGACTTTGTTGTATAGAATGTAATTTGTCAAGTGGATCGCGCAACCTCATGGCTTCATGCTATTTCTGTTTTGATTGGCTTAGCAGACGGTGTTCATGATATTCATTATAAGAATCAATACTAGAAATTTTATTTAATGATTCTCGCTTGTTTTGTTAAAATAATCTACATCAAAATACTGCTACCTGCTACTGCTGCTCACTGTGAGAGTGGGGATACACCCCACCCCTCGGGCGCTCCGCTCCCTCGACTCATTGCCGCCCCCCCTCCTTAGATTAATCGCTGGCTACGCGCGTTGCCTGGTACTGGCGCTTAGAAAGGAAGCCCGTTTACACGTGTGCTAGCTAAAAATAACTGTTAAAGCAAGCAAACGTGGTTGTGTTATTTTGCCAGCGACCTGTTTATGTTTAGGCATAATACGGCAATACGTTTTTGCAACGATCGGCCGGAACGGGTGTGTTGGGTGGATGGGAAGAATTTATGGGTGGGTTCGAGGATGAAAGGATGGATGGATGGATGGATGGATGTGATGGATGGGTGATCGAAGGATGGAAGGATGATGGATGGATGGATGTGATGGATGGATGGAGGATGGATTCGGAAGGCATCGAAGGATGGATGGATGGATGGGTGGATCGACAGGATGGAAGGATGGATGGATGGATGGATGGATGGATGGATGGATGGATGGATGGATGGACTGGATGGCTGGGTGGGTGGATGCGAAGATCGAGGATGGATGGTATGGATGGATGGATGGATGGATGGATGGGATGGATGGGATTGGATGGATTGGATGGATGGATGAATGGATGGTATGGGATGGGGTGGATGGATGGATGGATGGATGGATGGATGGATGATGGATGGGTGGAATAATGGACTGGATGGATGGATGGATGGATGGATGGATGATTGGAATTGATGTGATGGATGGATGGATGGATGGTGGGTGGATAAACTGGATAGCTGGGTGGAAGGCGGGCGGATAGATGGCGCGCGGGTGGTTGGATGCATGCGCTGATAGGCAATAAATAGGCAAAAAGATGTCCAAACCTTTATGTTCAACGCCGGTTGATAGATATGCTAAACGTTATAGTTACGGACCGTGCCATAACCAAGATCTAATAATAGCATTTATGTACGCTATGGACGTAATTCGTAGCTTTCCTCGGGATTATCCTAGTGGTGGATCCAGGGAGGGAGGCAAGGGGGCGGCCCCCCCGCTAGAATTTCAGGGCTAAGTATTTTTAGCCTAAACCCCCTCCCCGCCACGGGCGCTTCGTGGGCCCTTTTGAGCTTCGGCATGATTCGCGTCCCGCCCCCCCTAGATATTCACTTCCTGAACCGGCCACTGGCCGCTAGGGGGCACTGCTCTGCCCGGCCTGGAATTGATGACGTCACTGTGCGCTGCGGGTGTCCTGCTCGCACTCATTAATTGATTTCTCTGCGGCTTAATCGCCTGCTGCGTCGTTTCTCTACCGCTCACTCTCTTCCTCCCCCGCTCTCGTTTCTCTACCCTCACTCTCTTCGGCTCCCCGCTCGTCGGTTTCTCTACCCTCACTCATCTTCCTGCCACCTCTCCGTTTTCTCTAGCGCGCTCACTCCTCTTCCTCCCCTCTCGTTTGCTCTACCCTCACTCTCTTCTCGGCACGCTGCTCGTTTCTGCGTACCGCTCACTCTCTTCCTCGCACGCTCTCGGTTTTTCTCTACCCTCACTTCTCTTCCTGTCCACCTCGTCGTGTTCTCTAGCCTCACTCGTCTTTCCTCCACCTCTCGTTTCTCTACCTCTCACTCTCTTCCTCCACTCTGTGCGTTTTCTCTAACCCCTCACTGCCTCTTCCTCCGCACCTCTCGTTTTTCTGCTACCTCCTCTCTTCCTCCCACCTTCTCGGTTTCTTACCGCCTCACTCCTCTTCCTCCACCTCTCGTTTTTCTCTACGCGCTCACTCTCTTCCTCCACGCCTCTCCGTTTCTCTAACTCCTCACTCTCGCTTCCTGCCACTCTCGGTTTTCTCTAACCCTGCACCTCTCTTCCTACACCTCTAGCCGGTTTCTCTACCGGCCTCACTGCTGCTTCGCTCACACCTCGTCGGTTGTTTTCTGCTAACCCTCAGCTCTCTTCCTCCACCTCTCGTTTTCGTTCTACCCCCTCACGTCTGCTCGCCTCCACCTCTCGGTTTCTCCTACCCTCACTCTCTTCCTCCACCTCTCGTTTTGCTCTACCCTGCACTCTGCTTCCTCCGCAAGCGCTCTGCCGTTTCTCTATCCCTCACTCTCTTCCTGCCCCCTCTGCGGCTTTCTCTACCTCAGCTCTCTCGCTCCCCCTCTCGGCTTTTCTCTACCGCTCACTCTGCTTCTCGCAGCCTCGTCGGTTCTCTACGCCTCACTCTCTTCCTCCACCTGCTCGTTTCTGCCTACGCTCACTCTCTTCCTCCACCTCTCGGTTTCTCTTAACCCTCACTCTGTCTCTTCCTCCACCTCTGCGGTTTTCTCTACCTCACTCTCTTCCTCACCTCTCGGTTTCTCTAGCCGCCTGCACTCGTCTTCCTGCCCCCTCTGCCGGTTTCTCTACCGCTCACTCTCTTCCTCCACCTCTGCGGTTTCTCTAGCCCTCACTCTCTTCCTCCACCTCTGCGTTTCTCTACCTCACTTCTCTTCCTCCACCTCCTGCGTTTCTCTACGGCCTCCGCACTCTCTTGCCTCGCACCTCTCGGTTTCTGCTGACCGGCCTCCACGTCTCTTCCTCCTCCACCCCGTCGCCCTGCTCGGTTTTCTCTAACCCTCACTCTGCTTCCTCCCCCTCTCACAGGAGTTATCCACGCCACGTCGGTTACGCACCAGTGTGGCATACGCCGGTATTTAACTGAAGCTTGTTTGCGTCTGTTATGCACAAAATGTGAACAAGAACATTTGTTTTATTCTTATTATTATTATAACTAATATTATTATTATCATCATCATTGTAATTATCATGATCAATCGATTATAAGCAACGAGGTACCATCCCTTTTCTGCATAGCACAGGGCGGTGAACCTCCCGACACCAGCGCCACCTGCTTGCAGAATCTTACAGAAATGCCGCGAGTCGGTCGGTCGGTCGGTTCATAGACATTCTATCAGAAGTTAATATAGATAAGTTCTGTGCTTTATTACCTCCTTATTCTAAATATACGGGAGCGCGCGTACATAGCCATCAAGAGGGGCGAATAATAATCGGTATTATTATTAATATATATTAAATATTATATATTAATATTATATTATAAATAATAATAATATTAATATTTAATTTAATTTAATTTATATTAAATTAAATTAAATTAATAATATTATAAATTATATATTGATAATATATTATTTATTATTAGACACTGCTGTGGTAGGCATATCGCATCGAACCGCCGCTAACTGCTCTATAAAAACTAAGAACAATGTGTATAGATATTGTCAATCCGTTTTTATCACAAACTGTCTTGCTGACGTTCACTCACTACAGTGGATCGGCTCGATGCAGGAATTCCACCAGATTAAGTGTAAAAAAGTTGCACAGACTGCAATAGCACCATTGCGTTTAGCCACTCACGCGAACGAGAAAGTGACACCAGCACCACCTGCCGGAGAATTCTACATTAATCTCGCAAGTTAGTCGCCATACAATCAAAGAGTCGAAAAAAATACTCAACAATCGAGAATATATAAATATCGCTATGGAAACAAAAACAAATAAAATGGCATTGAGACACCTTCTCTTCATCCTCGCCTACAAAATACACAATAGCTAGTCTGCTCACTAAAATAAATATATATTCACTAAAGGTTCGGCGAGTTAGCCCTGCCATGACGACCCCGACGACCGCCATCTTTGTCTACGTCTAATAAATACAGCGCGATGCAAAAAAACTACAAGCAAAATACACGAGCGCTCCCTAACACTATACGGATAAGCTGGGCTTTGGTTAAGAAGAGGGGACGAAAATGTTACCGACAAAATAAAATGTTCTGGGCAGTGGCTGTCACCCAGTTTACGTATAACGCATGACCGCAGAACTACACGCTATGTATATAAATAACGTCATTACATCGAGAGCTAATAATACCTTTATTAGGTATTATTAACACTTGATTACATGTGAATGGGTTGGCGTAACCCCCCCCCCCCCCGGGTGGCGCGCAAACAACAGCGTATATACATCCGGGGGGGGGCAAAGGAAACAGCGCCCTCTGCTGAGTGTTTCCTTAACAAGCAGCTCCCTCTGCTGAGTGTTTCCTTAACAAGCAGCTCCCTCTGCTGAGTGTTTCCTTAACAAGCAGCGCTCGCTACTGGCTGATGCTTTTTCATTAACAAGCAGCGGCCCTCTGCTGAGTGTTTTTCACTGAGTGTTTCCTTAACAAGGGGCTCGCGTCGTGCAGTAATATGTCCGCTAGGAGGAAAACATCACTGATTCTAGCAAGTAAGCAAACATGTATATCTGCAAACGTACACACACATATACTACAAGGTTCGACCACTGATCTCTATACTAACTACTACTAAGTTAATATAGAGATCAGTGGGTTCGGCACACGCGCGACAGCTGCCGCCACCTAGTAGCATCACTTGTAACTAAAATTGACTGACAACAAAATTCCCTGCGCGCTTTATCCGTCAATTTACCACTTGCGATAGAAATAGATCTAATGCTACGTTAAATGTTAACAGTTAGTACATAACATCGTAACCAACTCGCTATACTATATCGCACATAACATCGTAACCAACTCGCTATACTATATCGCACATACTCCGTGTTCACATGCTGAAGAACAATCTCTCACATCTCACGAGTCTCGGGGTGAACATGCCCTTCGGTTAGTTGCCTATTTCATACAATTTTCACTTCTTTCTCTAACACGTGTTTGTATCTCAGAGTGAGTAATCAAGATCAGGGTCGTGTCCGCCGCACAGCGATGCCTGGCGGCCATCTTAACGCACGCGCATGCGCACGTGACGTCCATCATAGATTTATATACGTCACGGCTTCTCGAAACTCCGATACACTGATGAAGAATTAGAGCTACACAGGACAAGTCAGACTACAGGACTGCTGCCAGGTTTTCACCCATCGTCGTAGTCACGACGCATCTGCGAATAATTAATTAGCTGCATAATTAGTTGAATAGCTAATTAGCTGTATTTAAAATTACACTATAAGTTCGCTGTGTCGGCGGAAACTGTGACCACGAGACTGCACCAATCATGAAGATGCTCTCTTGTTCAAGCATGGATGCAGGTGCGGCGGAGAACGAACGTTATTCGATCTTACAGTGGCAACGTACGTTAGCCTATACAGCTATTTGTGCTACACCAGTGACAGTGTAACAGTACTAACACGCACAGAACATGGCTTAGAGCATCTCTACTCTATCGCTCTGATGACTAAACGAAATATGTCTTGACGTTGTTCACTTGATGAAGCAGCCTAGGGGGCGCCAGCGGCGGCGTTCGTGACAGCGACTCTCTCTGCATAGCAATAAGAACGGAGTTATACATATGTATTACGCGATTCGTGTTATATCATTACATAATTTCATGTAACAGATGCACATCATTGCTTCGTAAACAATCTTAAGCACAAGGTCGGATCCGAAATTTCGGAGTTGGTATACTTACCTTTTCGTAATCATCCAAGGCAGCTTAAAATGTACAGAATTGACATTAATACTACGGATGAGTTATGAGAGAAGAAATTATGATTTCCTGTACATTAACCATATATCGATACTATCACCAAATCTAACAATAGTCCTCGCATTCAGAAGTTTGGCATTGAATAGAGATTAAATACAATGAAGTTTCTTGTACATATAATTTACCTTATAATATACTATATAATATACTAAACTTGTTTCTGAAAATGTTTGCTGAAGTCTTTATAGATGCAGGAGAGGCGAGTAAATAGCCGTCGCTACATAAAGCCATCACACGTAACTCGGACTTCGCAAAGCACCACGTGGTCTGCATAACTCTATCTACCCATCCCACTTGCCTCACGCGCAATGTGGCCTCCTACCCAGTGAAGTGTCTGCTGTGCTAGCGAAGCAATATGTTCTTCTGCGCCACCCATTCTCCCTGTTCCCTGCCCTCACTACGTCTTGTGCTCTCATCTTCTTTTCTTAGCTGCTCACTCTTCGCTCTCTCTCTCTTCTTCTCCTCTCTCTCTCTCTTCCTCTCCTCTCTCTCTCTCTCTCTCTCTCTCTCGCCTCTCGCCTCTCGCTCTCGCCTCTCGCCTCTCGCTCTCCTCTCGCTCTCTCTGCTCTCTCCGCTCTCGCTCTCTCGCTCTCTCGCTCTCTTCGGCCTCTATCGCTCTCGCTCTCGCTTCTCTCTCTTGCCTCTTCTCTCTCTCTCTCTCTCTCTCTCTCTCCTCTCTCTCTCGCGCTCGCTCTCGCTCTCACTCTCATCGCTTCCCTCTCACTCTCCGCTCTCACTCTCTCTCTCTCTCGCTCTCTCTCTCTCTCGCTCGCTCTCTCTCTCTCTCTCTCTGCTCTCTCTTCTTCTCTCTTTTCTCTCTCTCTCTCTCTCTCTCACACTCTCTCTCTCTCTTTCTATTTCCTTTCCGCACTGTCTCTTCCTCTTCCTATCTTTTCACTTGCCTTTCTCCCTCTTATTCCGTCTTCCTCTTTCGCAGTTTCTCCCTCTTTAAGTTACCTCTCTCTCTATCTACTGCGTTCTCCCACTCTCTCCCCATCTTTCTCTCTCTCACTGTCTCCTCTCTCCTCTCTCCCCATCTCTCTCCTCTCTCTCCCCCTCTCCCCACCTCTCTCTCTCTCTCTCACTGCTCTCCATCTCTCCCACCTCTATCTACTCTCACTCCCTCCCTATATCTACGATCATCAGTGTCAGTGTACTCACACGAGATCATGTGTGTTTCCTCTCTTCTCTCTCTCTCTCTCTCCAGTCTATCTCCATTATTCCTACCTCTCTCTCTCACTGTCGCCTCTCCCCCCCCACCTCTCTCTCTCTCTCTCACTGTCTCTCCCTCCCCCCCCACCGCTCTCTCTCACTCCCTCCTATTATCTAACGCCATCATTGTCAGTTGTACTCACACGGAGGATCCACGTAGTTTCCTCTCTTCCCTCTCTCTCTCTTCCATCTATCTCTATATCTACCTCTCTCTCTCACTGTCTCCTCTCTCCCCACCTCTCTCTCCTCTCACTCCCTCCCTATATCTACGCATCAATTGTTCATGTACTCACAGAGGGATCCACGCTAGTGTCCTCTCTTCCCTCTCTCATCTCTCTCCCCATCTATCTCGTATTATCTAACCTCTACTCCTCTTTCACTGTCTCCTCTCCCGCCCACCTTCTATCTCTCTCCTCTCCCCTATCTCTACGCACATTGTCAGCTGTACTTCACACGAGGGGATCCACGCTTAGTTTCCTTCTCTTCCCCTCTCTCTCTCTCTCCATTATCTCTATATCTACCTCTCTCTCTCACTGTCTCCTCTCCCCCCACCTCTATCTCTCTCTCATCTCCTATCTTCTACGCCCCTCATTAGTCAGTGTACTTCACACGAGGGCATCACGTAGTTTCTCTCTCTCCCCTCTCTCTCGCTCTCCCATCTATCTCTATATCTACCTCTCTCTCTCACTGTCTCCTCTCTCCCCACCTCTCTCTCTCTCCTCTTCCCATATCTCTACTGCATTCATGTCAGTGTACTCACACGAGGGATCCACTACGTTTCCTCTCTTCCCTCTCTCTCTCGCTCGCCATGCTATCTCTTATATCTACCTCTCTCTCTCCCACTCTCTCCTCTCCCCCCACCTACTATCTCTCTCCTCTCCTCCCTATATGCTACGCGATCGATTGTCAGCGTACCTCACACGAGGATCCACGTAGTTTCCTCTCTTCCCTCTCTCTCTCTCCCCATCTATCTCTATATCTACCTCTCTCTCTCACTGTCTCCTCTCTCCCCACCTCTCTCTCTCTCCTCTCTCCCTATATCTACGCATCATTGTCAGTGTACTCACACGAGGGATCCACGTAGTTTCCTCTCTTCCCTCTCTCTCTCTCTCCATCTATCTCTATATCTACCTCTCTCTCTCACTGTCTCCTCTCCCCCCACCTCTCTCTCTCACTCCCTCCCTATCTCTACGCCATCATTGTCAGTCGTACTGCACACGGAGGATCCACGTAGTTTCCTCTTTCCCTCTCTCTCTCTCTCCTCTCTCCCTATATCTACGCATCATTGTCAGTGTACTCACACGAGGGATCCACGTAGTTTCCGGGGAAGGTTCCAAAGCGACCGGTGCGCAGCGATGATCCAACAAACCATCCATCGTCACACTTCTCCATCACATAGACAGTGTCGCCCTCTTGCAGCTCTAGTTCGTCCTGATTCTGAGGCCTGTATGCGTACATGGCCCTGAACCTGGGAAACATAAAAAACATGCGAGATTGAAGCGAGCTTAGATGGTGGTGGGTAGTTGCTTACATTGTGCTATTTTCAGAGCATCATGGGGAAGGGCACGTGATCTTGCGTTGAAACGGTCTAGATATGTTCTTAAACTTGGGATTGGTATTGCTTAAACGTTCATGATAATAGTTTCACATTCTAGTGTGAAAACAGGACATTATATCTTATTATTATGTGACGACATCCGAACAGAAGTGTGAATGAGAATACGAGATACAGTAGAAGTCCAAAAATCTGGATGCCAAATCAGGAATTTTCGAAAACTCGTTAAATTTAACTCTCTGTTTGATAAACTAAAAATAAATAATGAATTTGTATATAATAACTTCCTCTTTCATTTGTTTACTATATTTTCTTTTACAATATTCATTTTTACACATGATTTCAAGCATTACACGTTCTAATTTACCTGTTCATATCTTCTTTATTCCTTTTTATTTTTTTATTTTAAAAGCACTGCCCGAGAATACGGAAAATCCAAAAATCTGGACCGACCCAATCCCCGATCAGNCTTAATAGCGGTCCCAGAACACTTAACAACGTTACTAAGTGAAACTTACCGATAATGTGAACTTCATCACAGGCTGCCTGATTGAATGGGAATCGATCTCAATTACATTCATACACATTTATTGTACATCCAGTAATTTAGTGCTATTATGATGGTTAAAAGCATATAAAAATAATTTGATTGAAATATTACGTGGTCATGAATTATTTGCACAACGCAATTCTCAACTGTAACACGGACCGAGAATGTGGCAAGCGTTGCAAACTTTGAAACAGAGAACAAATGCGATTACGCATTTATAAATAGTATTGTTTTGTTTCTATTAGCGGTAGTATTATGATTTTGCGTGTTTTTCGAGAAAAACACAATTTCTATTCATTGATCGTATAAATAATAATGTCACTATAATTGTATTAGTGGTGTGAATGTGTTATTTTTCACTTAATATTAAAGTTACGGAGGTCTGGAGGATCTCTTAAGTTAGGAGCAAAAAGTACGAGAATTTTTTAATTCTTCTTAAACTTACGAGAGTTTCTGGCACGCGTTTAGAGAAAACTTAGTTTAGTTAATGTTAAGATAATTTTTCTTGGCCGGCCCCAGGGGTTCAAAGTTCGGTTTGCTGTCATATAATCATCTCATAGTACAGTATTTCCCCATGCTTATTATCTTATTACCTGATTTGTAAATATTGATTTGTGTGCAATGTTTATTGTCGATTTGTACCCAATGTTCCTATTGTGGCAATTGATTAGTGTTGATTAGTAGCACGATTTTACCAGCGCAGCGGGTACCGCGTAGTATTTATATATATGTGTATATATGTATAATATCTAATATTATATATATTTATATAACCATTGAATATGATATATAATAATACATATGTATATATACTTAGATATATAATATATTAATATATATATATTTATATATAAGAAGGATAGATATTAGGCTTTCATTTACACAATAACATAGACAATAGTGACGATTGCCACGTGTATGCATTATAAGCAGCTATGTACTACATAGTGCCATTAATAAACTATATGTATACATAAGTGCCCGGCGGACATATATGTATACATAGGTGTGGGGAAACATTATATGTATACATAAGTGTGGGGGAACATATGTATAATTAAGTGTGGGGAAACATATATGTATACATAGTGTGGGAGGAAAAACATATATGCTATACATAAGTGTTGGGGAAACCTGTATATTCGATCGCTCAATAGCAAAACCAACAGTGGCCTTCATAGACGGTCGTGGCTTCATAGCAGGCGTCAGTGGGCCTTCATAGAAGGTCCGTGGCTTCATAGAAGGTCGTGGCCTTCATAGAGGTCAGTGGCCTTCTAGACAGGTCGTGGCTTCATGGACAGGTCAGTGAGCTTATAGACAGGTCAGTGCCCTCATAGACAGGTCAGTGGCCTTCATAGACAGGCGTGGCTTCATAGACAGGTCAGTGGCCTTCATAGCAGGTCGTGGCCTCATAGACAGCGTCAGTGGCTTCATTAGCAGGGTCGTGCCCTTCATGACGGTCAGTGCTTCATTGACAGGCGTGGCCTTCATAGAGGTCGTGGCTTCATAGAAGGTCAGTGGCATTCATCAGACAGGTCGTGGCCTGTCATAGCAGTTCAGTGGCCCTTCATAGAAGGTCAGTGGCCCTTTCATAGAAGGTCAGTGGCCTTCATGACAGGTCAGTCAGGAAAGAGGCCAACAGCGTTCTCTGTAGAAGCGTGCCGAGTTCTCTATAGATGAGCAGCTACCCAGGTATGACTGTCTCTACTAAGATGGCACTAACGACAAGGGATGATGTTCTCTATGCATGAGCACTAACACACGGTATGGCCTGTTTCTATAGATGGCACTAACACACAGGTATGACTGTTTCTATAGATGAGCACTAACACACAGGTATGACTGTTCTCGTCTATAGATTGGGAGCATAACAACAGGGTATGATGTTCTCTACTAAGATGAGCATTAAAACACAGGTATGCTGTTCTCTCTAGATGAGCACTAACACACAGTGATGACTGGTCTCTATAGATGGACTAACACAAGGTATGTCTGTGTTATTGATGAGCATACCCAGGTATGATGTTCTCGAAGATGAAGACTACCACAGGTGATGACTGTTCTCTATAGTAGCGTAACACACAGGTTTGATGTTCTCTAGAGATGAGCACTAACACACAGGTATGACTGCTTTCTCTTAGATGGACCTACACCAGGTATGACTGTTCTGTATAGCATGAACACTACCAAAGGGTGACTGTTCTCTATAGATGTATAACACACAGTATGACGTGTCTCTATAGATGAGCCCACTAACCAGGTATGATGTTTCTAATAGATGAGCCTAACCACGCGTTGACTGGTCTTATAGAATGAACACTAACACACAGGTTATGATGTTCTTTATAGATGAGCACAACACCGTATGACTGTTCTCTATAGATGGCCTAAAACAGCGTATGACTGTTCTCGTTAGATGAGCCTACCACAGGTATGACTGTATCTTTATAGTGAGTACTACACACCACGGTAGATGTTCTCTATAGATAGAGCACTAACACCGGTATGAATGTTCTTATGATGAACACTAACCAGGTATTGGACTGTTGTCTATAGATGAGCACTAACACAGGTTTGACTTGTTCTTCTTATAGATGAGCCTACACACAGGTATGGACGTTTCTATAGATGAGCATAACACCAGTATGACTGTTCTCTATAGATGAGCACTAACGAACACGGTATGCTGCTTCTCTAGAGATGAGCATAACACAGGTATTGACCTGTTTCTCTATGGATGAGATCACACAGGGTGTTGACTGTTCTCTATGATGAGCACTAAACACAGGCTATGATGTTCTCTATCAGAGGGCAAACACGGTTTGGACTGTTCTTATAAGTGATGGCACTACACACAGGCTATGACTGTTCTCTATAGAATAACATTAACACACAGGTATGACTGTTCTCTATAGATGAACATCACACACAGGTGATGACTGTTCTCTATAGATGGTACTAACACTAGGTATGACTGTTCTCTATAGAATGAGCACACTAACAACAGGTAACTGACTTCTCTAATAGATGCGATGCACAGTAACACAACAGGTACTGACTGTTCTCTATAGATGAACATCTAACACAAGGTATATGTCCTCTATAGATAGGCATAACATACACAGGTTTGCACTAGTTCTCTGTATAGATGAGGCACCTAACACACCAGGTATGACTGTTCCTCCATATAGATAAGGCACTAACACACAGTATGACTGTTTCTCTATATGAGGTCAGCATACACACCAGGTTATGACTGTTTATCTATAGATGAGCACTAACACCAGGTATGAGTGTTTTTTATAGCATAACACTACAGACGGTATGGACTGTTCTCTATAGATGAGCACTACAACAGGTGTGACTGCTTCTTATAGATGAGCACTAACACACAGGAAACAGGTATGACTGTTCTCTATAGATGAGCACTAACACACAGGTATGACTGTTCTCTATAGATGAGCACTAACACACAGGTATGACTGTTCTCTTGTATATATGCACTCACAGATTTCGCGCTCCCTCGCGGCGAGGCGAGGGGAGAGGTCGGGCCGTTAAACACGTCAACAGAGGGAGCCACCTTCTTAGCAGCTCTCAGCGACGCCATGTGATCCTCGTAACTACAAACAAGCGAACGGCATTGACACAGCGAATCAAAGCAAACATCGTAGAATCTAACACTGACTTTGTTTTACCGATATTCTCACTTGATAGCAATGACACTACTGACTGATACGACTTAATATTGGTAGGTCATACTTGATACTACTTGGTATTTTTACATGAACAAATTTGTTTAATGTGAAATGAATATGATTATTTAAATCTGGCTCATGCCGCGACGCGACATACGCGAATGATTGGTGTACCGACCAGGGGCGTGTCAGCAGGGGGGGGGGGGGTCCAGGGTCCGGACCCCCCTGCTCGCGCAGAAAACGCATCTAAGGGGTCTAATTCACAAAATTTCTGGGGAGGGCCCCCCGACCCCCCGGTTCAGCGCCTCGGCAAGTTTTGGTTACGGTTAGACCCCCCTGGTACAAATCCGTTACAAGCCCTGCGACTGTTGCTGTATCTGCGAATACAGGCCATGACAACAACAACGCCGCTGCGTCGACAGCGTGGGGCACAACGTGGGGCGCCACGGTTAGGCGACGCGACCTCACCTCTTCGTGTGGGGCCCCCTGGTGTCAGCGACCTCGACGTGTGGCGCCACCTCCCTCGCGTCCCACCGGTGCGCCATCTGCTGGTATTCCTTCCTCCCGGATGCCGGGCTGGAGTCCGGCTGGCCTGCTCTTCGTCCGATAGACGCGCTGGCGTCCTGGACATCGGCGTGAGTGTGCCTGCTGCTGCCTCCGCTGCCGGGGGCGATGGGGCTTCGCTGGGAAGAAGCTGCGCCATGGCGTGAGTGTGCCTGCTGCGCGCTCACGCTGCGGGGGCAATAATTGGGGCTTCGCTGGACAGAAGCTGCGGCCATCGGACGAGGAGACAAACGAGAAAAAAAAAAAGAGAAAAAAGCAAAAAAAAAAAAAAAATAAAAAAAAAAAAAAAAAAAAAAGGAAAAAAATAAAAAAAGAAAGAAAAAAAGAAAAGAAATAGAAAAAAAAAAAGAAAAAAAGGAAGAAAAAAAGAAGAAAAAAAAAAAAATGAAAAATAAAAAAAAGAGAAAAAAAAAAAAAAAGAAACAAAAAAAAAAAACGCTTAAATAAGAATAAAAGAAGAAAAAAATAAAAAAAAAGAATAAAAAAAAAAAGAAAAAAAGAAAAAAAGACAAAAAAGATAAAAAAAAAAATAAGAAAAACAAGAAAAGTAGTAAAAATAAAAAAAAAAAACAAAAACAAGAAAATACGAAAAAGAAAAATGCCGACGAACCTGCATCAACAAAACACGCTGATGATGATGATGATGATGATGATGATGATGATGATGATGATGATGATGATATAGTAAAGAGAAACACACACGTGCACACAAGCATGTAATCACACGCACGCACGCACGCACGCACGCACGCACGCACGCACGCACGCCGCACGACGCACGCACCACGCACACCACACTACCACACATACACAGAGAGGCTACGATGATGAGTCGTGCTGCTGTGCTGGCTGTTGCTGCTGCTGCTGCTCGCTGCTGCTGTTTGCTGCTGCTGTTGTGGGTCGGGCAGACGTCTGCACGCATCACTCCACGTAAGGCTATCGGGAAGATTCGCGCTCGGTCCCGATGGCTCCCTCGTACCAGTATATCGTCAACTTCCCGCAGCAGCGTGACGACCTCACCCTGATAAACAAGTGAACACACCACTGCTGAAGCAACGACCTCTAGCACGCCCGTGCATGTGTGCATGTGTGTGCGTGTTGTATGTATATGTATTGGTACTACGATGTGTGGCACGTGTGTGTTGTTGTATGGATTATGTATGTGTGTACTAGCAGATGTGCACGTGTGTGTATGTTGTATGTAATGTATGTGTTGTACTACAGATGTGTGCACGTGTGTGCATGTGTATGTATATGTATGGGTATTCTACAGATGTGTGCACGTGTGTGTATGTTGTATGTATATGTATGTGTGTACTACACATGTGTGCGTGCATGTGTGCACGTGTGTGTATGTTGTATGTATATGTATGTGTGTAACAGCAGAAGTGTGCGTGCACGTGTGTGGCACGTTTATGTTGTAGTATATGTATGTGTGTACTACAGATGTGTGCGTGCATGTGTGCACGTGTGTGTATGTTGTATGTATATGTATGTGTGTACTACAGATGTGTGCACGTGTGTGTATGTTGTATTCGTATTGTATGTGTGTACTGACAGATGTGCTTGAGTGCATGTGTGCACGTGTGTGCATGTTGTATGTATATGTATGTGTGTATTACAGATGTGTGAGTGCAGATGTGTTCACATGTGTGCGTGCATGTGTGCACGTGTGTGCATGTTGTATGTATATGTATGTGGTGTACACAGATGTGTGGTCATGTGTCGTGTATGTTGTATGTATATGTATGTGTGTAGCTACAGATGTGTGCACGTGTGTGTTATGTTGATGTAATAGTATGTGTGTACTACAGATGTGTGCACGTGTGTGTATGTGTATGTATATGTATGTGTGTACTACAGATGTGTGCACGTGTGTGTATGTTGTATGTATATGCTATGTGTGTTACTACAGATGTTGCACGTGTGGAATGACACATGTGTGCGGCATTGTGTGCACGTGTGTGTATGTTGTATGTATATGTATGTGTGTACTACAGATGTGTGCACGTGTGTGCATGTTGTATGTATATGTATGTGTGTACTACAGATGTGTGAGTGCATGTGTGCACGTGTGTGCATGTTGTATGTATATGTATGTGTGTATACAGATGCTGTGCACGTGTGGGCATGTTGTATGTATAGTATGTGGTGTCTACAGATGTGTGGAGTGGCATGTGTGCACGTGTGTGTATGTTGTATGTATATGTTACGTGCTGTACTAGGCCGATGTGTGCCACCGTGTGTGCTAGTTGTAGTGTATATGTATGTGTACTACAGATGTGTGCACGTGTGTGTATGTTGTATGTAATGTATGTGTTGGTACTAACAAGATGTGTGCACGTGTGTGTATGTTGTATGATATGTATGTGTGTTACTACAGATGTGTCACGTGTGTGTATGTTGTATGTATATTGTATGTGTGAGCTACAGATTGTGCACGGTGTGTGAATGACACATGGTGGCGTGGCAATGTGTGCACCGTGTGTGTATGTTGTATGTATATGTCATGCTGTGTATCTACAGATGTGTGCATGCGTGTGTGTATGTTGTATGTATATGTATGTGTGGTCCTAACGCAGTATGTGTGCACGTGTGTGTATGTTGTATGTATATGTATGTGTGTACTACAGATGTGTGCACGTGTGTGAATGACACATGTGTGCGTGCATGTGTGCACGTGTGTGTATGTTGTATGTATATGTATGTGTGTACTACAGATGTATGTGTCCACGTGTGTGCATGTTGTATGTATATGTATGTGTGTACTACAGATGTGTGCACGTGTGTGCATGTTGTATGTATATGTATGTGTGTAACTACAGATGTATGTGTGCACGTGCTGTGTAGTTGTATGTATTATGTATGTGTGTCCACAGCTGCATGTGTGCACGTCGTGTCATGTTGTGTTATATTAGTGTGTACTACAGATGTGTGCACGTGTGTGTATGTTGTATGTATATGTATGTGTGTACTACACATGTGTGCGTGCATGTACGTGCGTCTGTCTATCTATTTTCGTGTGTGCATGTACATACATCTTAATCTGTGATTGATTTCAGTAACGGCTCTTCATTTAAAGCTTGTTGCCTTAATGCAGCCATTTTTAATTCATCACGGAGATACCTAGCTGAGGCACGGATTACCACACTCTTACCTTTTTCAGTGAGAGCTCGTTCAGCGATGCTGCGTCGAAGTCAAACTTGACCTTGGCTTCACGTGTCTCCTGAGCAGGATCAGTCTTTACTTCATCCATCGACTCAATCACCTTAGCAACGATGTTTCAAACAAACGTGTTAAATCTCTACCATCGCAAAGTCATGCATAAAAATTATGCATATATCTTATATATCATATATCTGGGGTGAATTACTAATGGATTGCTTGTTATTCGCTATATATATATATATATATATTTATAGATAATATTCTATAGATATTCTATAGATAAATTTGTTTTTTACTCAAGTGTCAAGAAATAGTCCACCACGCACTCTCGCAATTGAGAATTTACAGGTTGTCAACTTTTCACAGCCGCGTCGTTGCATACTAAACAACGGACATTGCGATGGTGGCGCTGCGAGACGACGCATTTATGAACTATATTAGCGACCATCTGGCTGTGACTTGCGTAACTCCTAGGCTATAGTGTGAACAAGTACGTGTCGAACCCTACGAACCTTAGCACGCACCGCGAACTACGTACTAGCTTACTGTAAAACTCAGCAGGCACCGCGAACTACGTACTAGCTTACTGTAAAACTCAGCAGGCATACACACGTAATAGATTACTATAACTACATGCGTTGAGTAGTATATATAAAGAGTCTCTCCACATAGAAAGTCTCTCTCTCTCTCCACAATAGAAGTCTCTCTCTCTCTCTACAATAGAAAGTCTCTCTCTCTACAGTACAAGACATCTCTCTACACTATAGAATCACTCTCCATGTGCAGGTGTGTGTATTCACTAACACGCCGCAGTGTCTTGTCGTGTCGTGTCGTGTCGTGTCGTGTCGCGTCGCGTCGTGTCGTGTCGTGTCGCGGCCGTGTCGTGTCGTGTCGTGTCTTGTCGTGTCTCGTCTCGTCTCCGTCTTGCGGGATTCTAAGCAGAAGCTATGTACTCACGAACACAACCACGCACGCTGCACCCGTACGCACACACGCACGCATGCGCGCACGCACACACATACTGTGGCAATGTTTGAGTATACACACGCCTATTAAAGATATCAGGAGCTGCAACAGGAGATAGGATATCAGGAGCTGTAACAGGAGATAGGATATCAGGAGCTGTAACAGGAGATAGGGTAAAGCTTTAACCATCAGAATGTGACAGATGTAGACAGCAAGTAGGTCCGCTGCCTGGAGAAAGTTGGCCAAACTGTCAGCTGCAGATGAAATAGCTACCCAGCGAGCCAACTACGCAGATCACATGTAGGAATACCACGTGTATATATCGAATCAGGCCTTATTCCAAGGGAGAATGTCCAAACAGGGTGGCAAAAGACACATCCACGTCAATACACCGGGTCGTGACGTTTGGGTGGGGTGTCATACGGTTTTTATTTAATGTGACAATGCTTATACGACCGCCCCCCCCCTATAACAGCGACCCCCGCCCCCCCATTGCACACCGGCTTTGTGACACTGGGTCAGGGCACCAGTCACAAGTTATGACCTCTTTGGCCACTCTGTTTGAATTATTTGCTCAAGGGAATTGGATATGTACACGTGTTCACGGCCCACGGTCACGTGACGGTCAGACGTATGACACACGCACACAGAGCTAGAAGGAGAAACAACGATGCGGACATACAACACTACATGCACGCACGCACACAACAGCGTGCCGCACGCACGCACGCACGCACAGACACGTGCACGGCACGCACAGCCAGCTACCACACATACATGCACGGCGCGCACGAAGACACGTGCACGCACGCACGCACCACATGCCGCACGCACGCACGCACGCACTACGCCACACTACATGCACGGCGGCGCACACAGACATGCGTGCAGCAACGCAATCGCTACTACGACACATAGATGCACCGCGCAGCACAGACACGTGCCACGCACGGCAAGCGCACTACCACCCATACATGCAGCGCACGCACAAGACATCGTGCACGCACGCAGCACTACACACGATATATGTCGCGATGTTCAGAACCTATAGGAATGCTCTCTCCTCTTTCTCTCTCTCTCTCTCTCTCTTCTCCTCTCTCTTCTCTCTCTCTCTCTCTCTCTCTCTCTCTCTCTCTCTCTCTCTCTCTCTCTTCTCTCTCTCTCTCTCTCCTCTGCTCTCTCATCTGCTCCTCTCTCGTGCGTGCTCTCTCTGCTCTCTCTCTCTATCCTCTGCCTGCTCTCTTGCGCTCTCCTCGCTCCGCTCTTCGCTCTCGCTCTCCTCTACTCTCTTTCGCGCTCTCTCTCTGCTCCTCTCTCTGCTCTCTCTCGCTCTCCTCTCTCACTCTCTCTCTCTCTCTCCTCTTCGCCGCTCTCTCTCTCTCTCTCTCTCTCTCTCTCTTGGCGTTCTCTCTCATCATCTCTCTCTCCTCTCTCTCTCTCTATATATATCCTATATTATTAATACGACCAGGAGTTAATAAAGACAAACTTTGTCTTTATTACTCCTGAACACGTGGTGCTGACTGCTCGGACGAAAGACCACAATCTGTAACCGACGCCCATAACCCTAACCCTAACCTAAGCTCTGATCCTAACCTAACACGAACCCTATCCCTTTCCCTAACCCTAACCTAAGCTGTAATCCTAACCATAACCCTTCCCATTGATTCTAACTACAACCTATAACCCCCTCCCTCCTAATTCGAACCGCAACCCCTAACCCATAATGTATCATTATAGCATTTAACACAAAAACGTGAACCACGTGACAACACGGGACAACACGTGACAACACGTGACATTCCCTCGCTGTGTGGAATTTTCTGATGAGCACTACAGGGGGAAGTTGACGTGCTGTGTGTGTGTGTGCGTGCGTGCGTGCGTGCGTGCGTGCGTGTGTGAGTGCGTGCGTGCGTGCGTGTGTGGGTGGGGGTGGATAGGCATTCAAAGATCACTGCACACGCACACACGTTTGCGCTACAAGCAGGCAGACAGGCAGGCAGGTAAGCAGGCAGGCAGGCAGACAGGCAGGCATGCAGGCAGGTAAGCAGGCAGGCAGGCAGACAGTCAGGCGGGCGGGTAGGCAGGTATGCAGGCAGGCAGGCACAAGACAGCTACAAACGCACCTCTTGTATTTTCTCTGCGTACTCAAGAGAAACGACAACCTAGCGAAAAAATAAATGGCAGAAAATAAGTACGACGGTGATTACTTCGTTAACCATTCATTTTGTTATTATTATTATTATTATTATTATTAATGATAATTAGTTTAAACTACCGAGTAAACATTATTACTATAAAATTACCGCTGGATACTCACTTGTTCGAGGAAATAAACGCCAGCTAAATCTTGTGTGATTTATATAGGGACGTATCATATGATATCACAACGCATGTATATCAATGTTTTAGTATGTATAATAATGTTTTAGTATGTATAATAATGTTTCAGTATGTATAATAATGTTTCAGTATGTATAATAATGTTTCAGTATGTATAATAATGTTTCAGTATGTATAATAATGTTTCAGTATGTATATCAATGTTTTAGTATGTATAATAATGTTTTTGAATATATGTATGTATATATATATATATATATATATATATATATCAATGTTTTAGTATGTATGTTAGTTTCAGTGGGGGTTTGATACAATAAACGTCAATGTGTTATAAGAAGCGGACATAAGCGGACATTAAGTTCGTTGTTTAATAGCGACCCATGCCGCACCAGTAACAGAACCACTGTATAAACGCACCACCTGCATACGCCGGAGAAAAGAATATAACAAATGATTAGCGCAGTGCGCGACCGCGCAGACGCGTGACATATGACAATGCAGTCAGTAGCAAACACAAGGTTATAATAATATATATATATATATATATATATATATATAAATATATACATATAGGTTATACATCACGTCACATAGTGTAGGATATTGAATAAAGAATATTTTCAATCGCAGGCAACTTCGCAGGTGCTGCAAACCTGAATCCACACAGATGGCCCTCTGATCAATGTATCCAATACACATACACATATGCACACATACTCACACTCACACACGCACACGCGCAATCACTCACGCACTCACGCACGCACGCACGCACGCACGCACGCACGCATATATATATATATATATATATACATATATGTTGCGTGTGTGCGTATATATATATATATATATAGANATGCGCAGTAACAGAACCATGTATAAGCGCATCATGCATACGCCGGAGAAAGAATATAACAAGATAATAGCGGCAGTACGCACGCGCAGACGCGTGACAATGACAATGCAGTCATAAGCAAACAACAAGGTATATATATATATATATATATACATACAGGTTATACGTCACGTCACATAGTGTAGGATATTGAATAAAGAATATTGTCAATCGCAGGCGCTGCAAACCTGAATCCACACAGACGGCCCTCTGATCAATGTATCCAATACACATACACATATGCACACATACTCACACGCTCACACACGCACACGCGCAATCACTCACGCACGCACGCACGCACGCACGCACGCATATATATATATATATATATATATATACATATA